GGAGAGCGATTGCTCTGTATGAGGCGAGCCTAGCGTTCATATGTTCTGCTAATAAAGCCTGATGCAAGAAACATTGTTCCTTCGTCTAATCACGCCATGAGCCTGAACCTAAGCATGGTTAATGAGGCGCTCGAGCAAGGCGCTAGGCCTTCTCTGTTTACAGCAGTTCTGTGAACAATTCAAGATGCAGGTCGGAGGGGAGGGAGCAGCAAACTGATCTCTCACTAGGACAATCAACCAAAAGAGTCTTTGGAGGGCTTGCAAACAGGCTTTGCTTTTCCTGCAGGATGCAGCTAGAAACTACATCTCATTCCTTTTGGCATCGTTATTACTGGAAAAGACAACAAAAGTACCAGCCCCTCAGCAGAGTCAGACCTCTGCTTTAATTGTTGCACTAAAGGCAAGTCACAGCAATTTTCCACAGTCCCTTGTCTCCGTCCCCTTCTCACGAACATGCCCCCGTTCCCTTGCAAATGAGGATGGGTTTGTAGGACAAACGGGCCAAGACTTTCACTGACGTTTCGGCAGTACCTCTGAAGCATGCGTGCCTTTTATGAGTTTTCAGTGAGAAAAGCAAATCGAGAGAATAGATTTTTCTGGAAAGATGCTTGAGATAATTCGCTCTAATACTCAGAAACTACTAAACGTACAGAATCGTGCATCAGGTTTTTTTGGATTATGTTTCATATGCACATCTTATTTCTAGTCATATGTTCTCATTTTGTTGATAGCAACACATACCACTGCATACCAAAGTTGGAATAGAGTTCCAAGAAATAATCCAAATTAAAACATTTCAAGAGATGGTGATTCCATTCTGACCCCAAAAGTTGTGGCAACGGTTAATTACCCTTGCTGTCTAAACATTTCTTAATTGCAATTTGATTTTGCTTACTTTCCACTTACAGGCACTGAATCTTATTATACCTTCTGGTAGATTAAAGAGCCCTCTGAGGATTTGAAATCTTGACCCATGCAGGCACTGATCAAATCACTTCTTCAGTTTCTCTTTGATAAAGTAAATCAATTGAGAGCTTCTGAAGTCTCATTAGGGCAGGCTGTTCGGGGCTCCAGTTCCTTCCTAGAACCATTTCCAATTTTCCACAGTTCTTTCTGTGTAGCTGTAAATAAAACAGGTATTCTGCATGTTGCTGGAAACATGCTGTTTGTAAGAAGATAATTTCTAATATTAGGACCTGCAATAGCAAAATATGTTGTCAGCTTGTTTGTTAACCCTTTTTAGTGCAACACCCTCTCTCCCCGTACTAAGATGTCTGTTGCCAATGCAGATATTTCGATTTCTGGAAGCTGGCACTTTCATTAGCAGCCTAAGAGTTCACAGAATACCCTGAAATTTTGTACAGGATGTTAAATCAATGAGTCGCTGGCTCTCACCTAACTGGCCTGATAGGGAAACTCTTCAGGCATCTCAGCTAATCTGTTTAGGGTGTAACGGCAGATAATGGAATTTAACAATGTTGACTCCACTTTTAATATCCACAAACTCTCCCTGCTTACGAAGCGGTGCTTCTGCAACTCTCTTTGCTGGAGAAATAAACGTGAACTTGCTGAAGCAAACTCTGAGGTCTTACTCTGCCACGGAAAGCTAACGGTGTCCGGCATGCAGAGGAAAGCTGGAGCAGAGGCCAGCTAGGCGGCATCTCTCCCGTTTGAGGAGTAACCCTGAGGGTGAGATGATATTGCTTGCCTGCAGCTACAACACCTTGTATTAGATACTTTTGCTGCTACCCAGACAAGTAAAATAAATATGTCTCCCTCCACAGAAAAACTGATAAACTTCTCCACAGATGTCACAGATAAGATGAAGAGCAGCTGAGAAATTAGATTCCCAGCCTGGAAGCGGCTCTGTACGATCACCGCCCTGTGCAACGTCCCAGTAAGGCTCCTGGGAGGGGAGCGGCTCATCCAGAGCAGCTTTGCGGATTGAAACTTCAGATCCTTTTATAGATGTCATCTTGTTTCATAAACACAGTTTTGTCAGCCTGAGAAACAGATATCTGGATGCAGAGTATGATGCTGCCTTCTGACCAGAAAACTACCCTGTGCCTCAAACTGCTAAACGTAACGCTGCACTGATGTCTCATCTTGTATGTGCAGAGAAGTTTCTTTCAAAACTTTTGCTTTAATAACCACAAATTCCTTCTGTGTCTGAAATGACAGCCCTATCATCTTTGTTTATATTTTTATTCTCTTAGCCTTGGCAAGTGTGTAACACGATAAGACATCCTTTGCACAAAATAAATTATATTTTGAGTGGTGTTTGTGATGGATTTAATTACACACATACCCAGTCTCTCTACACTAGAGTAAGGGTTGTCAATTATTTGACATCTTCCAAGGATGACTACAGCATGGCTAATATCTCTTCCCCTTACACTAGGGATATGGTTCAAGCTGGTAAAATTAATTTGCTTTTTGTGTGCATCAAGGCTTTATCATATGATAAATATCCAGCTATAATATGCTACATACAATACAAACAGTGGTACGGCAAACCAAAGTCAAACCATCATTTGTCTAGTGATATCAACTGAGTTGTAAAAAGACACATTTCTTAACAAAAAGCCTTCTGACACCAGGCTTGACAGAGAGCGGAGGATGCATCTTTCATTTCAAAGGCTATGAAGAAGCCACATGTGCATAACAAAAAAAAAAAGCTGAAGAAAGCAATTTGGAGAAAGTAATTTTCTCTAGATTCTAAAGAGATTTTTGAGACTCGCTTGGTAAACACCTTACACAAGTGTATTCTAATCTTATAAAAACTATTGCATACATTTTTTTTCATCAGCTAGCATAGAAGAAAATCCCCTTAATGATGCAAGGAAGATGCTTTGGTGAGGTGGGCTAAGGCTTGGGAGTATTGGGTACATACCTAACAGTGCAGCTCTTCAAACACCTGGACCTCACCAAGTCAAATCTCTCTTTGCCTCCTTGGTGAGAAGAGGCTGTCAGATCTAGCTACCTCATAGAGCAACTCATTAGTTACAGCTGAAAAACTGTTGGCAACTTCAAATCAGCAGACAAAACTAGGAGCCACTAAAGACTGGAAGAGAGAGTTTTCCAAGCTACCTGATCATCCACAGGCAGAAAGAGATGTAAGAGAAATGCAGCTCAAGTAACAGCCTACAAGGGCACGCACCTCTGTTCCCATTCTACGGCAGGCCAACGTTAGCACAGCTAACACAACTGATGTGAAAGTCTCTCCCACTGCTCCCAAGAGGCTGACATGGCCTGGGAAGCTACAGATACAACCGAACAGACCAAGCTGTTGATTTTCAAGTTTCCGTGGCATAAAAATAACTCATTCCACAATTTAAAAACCCAACAATGGTGACACTCACTAATGCAGCAACATTGTCTCAGTATCTTTTTAGTTCTTCAAACATCAGGTTGGCAGTAGATTGATTAGGCATGGGCAAAAGTCCATCCAAGCTACAGAAGGGTGAAATTAGGGCAAATTTCTATGTCTTTGTAAGCACAAGCCAGTTTTTGTGCAAGACTTCATGACAGCGAGCTTTCTCAGCTTGTTCTGCCCATCTGCAAGGATCTACCAGGCACTACCGTCCTCATCATCTCTGGAGGGCAGCGACTCTTGTTGTTAGGATCCTCTTGAGTAGTTGAAATGAGAACAAGGGTAAATGTCCTTACATACTGCTGGGAGATGTTGATGGATGTAAGGGAAGGACACGCTGGGTCCCCTGAAGAGCCTGTCCTGATGACATCTTCAAGAGGTACCGGTCATGCACATTGTCTCCAAAACAAACCTCTAACATTGTACTTAATCTTCAGGCCTTACAGTACTGGTACAAGATGGGTCTTACTGAAGAATTAAAAATAGGGAAATCTACCTCCTTTATTTGTTAGTATTAAATGTTCACTTCTCTAGTGAAGAGGCTTGCCCAAAACATTTAAATCCAGAGTGGTCTACAACCGGATGAGAAAATCATGTAGCTGAAAACATGCTTTCAATATAATAGTATTAATCAGGCATGGGCTAGGGTAGATGCAAACCCCAAACCCCCTACATCTACTATCAACAAATCATGTCACAGCCAAGCCTAGGGATTCATCCACTACTGCAGATACAGAACATTTATTAGCAGAAGGCATAACAGATGGGAACAAATAGCACTGAACTGCAGGTAGTGCCCAAAGATGGATATCGGTAGTGGCATGACTGATGCCCTTTTTAAGATCTCTTTTTCTTTCCCAGGAACAAATATTAATAAACGTCAAAAAATTAAACTTATTTCGCTCACACAGCAACATCCAACGTCTGGTGAATTTGTCTGAGAAGCCAGAATGCCAAGGTTTTAATTTGTCTTCAAGTCACAAGATAGAGATTTCTTCAATGCCAAGGGCTGTTTTGCAGTACCCGTGGCTGTTAAACTCAGATGGAACTGGGGGGTGTGTGTGACCAGTCTGTGTAAACCATGTCTTAAAAGTGCTCTGTGCTTCACTTCCCCGGTGTCAAACAGGGATATTAATCCTCACTCAGATATAGTGGTTAGTAGAAGTTATGTTTGAAAGAGTTTTGAATACATAAGCACAAGACCAATTTAATTTCCTCTTTTTCCTCTCTAAAATGTGGGATTTTGAAAGTTTTGGGGGCTTTTATGGCTTTTGCTTTCCCATGCGAAGTACAGACTGACTCCGTCTATTGCTCCTTGAGCTTCAGATTATGAAGCGTGCAGTTCACACCGTGATTCTCTCTGTCGGGACAGAGCAGGGAAAAGAGCTCCCTGAAACGAGGGTCCAGTTTTCACGGATGCCGAGTACCAGCCTGCGAGCAGTTTGACATCTTCCAGCAAACTGCACGTCTGGGCCCTGTTTCTAAAGTATTGCCAAAAGATAAATCTCCTTTTAGGCTTCTCTATTGACAACACTGAGTCTCTAGGAAAGGAGGAGAAACCTTCTGGAAAAAGGACTCCTTTCCTTCCCCACCTCGTTAGAAGAGGGCTCATTCACTGCCATCGGCTTTTTGATAGATAGCCGGATAAATGTGTGTGCTGTGGCAGTCCCTCCAAGCCTCTGTGCCCTGGCTGCTAGTCTGTAAGCCAAGGCACTTAAACGATCGGTTGTAATTTCTTCCTGGTCTAACTGTGGGCCTTCAACACGCTCAGAGTAATGTTTAAAGCAGCCACAGTAGATTACTGTGTCTGGAAGCGAACATTTACTGTAGATAATCCAAAATGACAGGTCTGATAAATACCACTGGTTAGATTCTGATCAACCACACATCATCTTTCTGATTCATAGCGGAGGAATTGCTGCCTTCCAGTTCCACACACAGGCAGCATCCTCCAGGGAGAGCCTCAAGTTGTAGGCTGTTATTACTCACTTTCGAGAGCGTACCTCCAGTAAGTTTCTGGATAACTTCTTTTATAAGCTACCGGTTTCTGCCAATTTTGCTGTCTCTGTTAACTTACTGTATAAATGTATTATTTTTAAAAATCCAAAAGCTAAGAGCTGCACCCCGGATGCTTTATCTATCACCTGAACAAGAAAAGCTAATTTTCAGAGATGCTGAACACCAACAACCCCTCTAAGGCTACCAGCAGCCAGAGCACAGCCTCCGCCTCTCAGAACCCACCTTTCTGTTCTCCTCTCAAACCTACACCGAACCGCTGGAGTATTCAGCATTTAATCTCAGCATACGCTGAATGAGGTGGGGCCACTTGCCCAAACCCAGCCTCCCATTAGCTCTAAATACTCTTTATGTTTGCAACTGTGAGCTCCCACCTGCTTTGGACACACAAATCCTCACTTCTATTCCCAGGCCTGGCGGCAGACGGAGCTGAGCCTCCGTCCCAGGGCTCGGCCACGCCAGCTGCGCAGGCACAACCACCTACGCCAGCCAGAGCTGAGCCGAAGGCAAGGCGTCTCGCGGGAATTTGGCCCAGAGTGTCAAATCTCATTCACAAAAGGAAACAACAAATACTTGATAGAACTCCTAAACCTTAATTTTTGAACTGTCCATTAAAAAATATAATAAAAAAAATTAATAGCAATAATAAAGCATGAGTAAAACAAAAGGCTTTCCAATTAACACAACACATGACCACAGGATTAATTATTATTTTGGAGCCCAGCCACTTAACAGTGCCCTCCGAGTTATTTTCAAGATGCAATGAGCGCGTTTGCTCTCCAGTGCAGTACACCATACCTGTCTTCTTACCTAACAGCGTGGTCGATGGAACAGTGTCTGATGATACTTTGAGATGGAATTCCGTTCACCCACACGACACGGATCAATGGAAATCAACAGAAGATCAATAGGAAAAAAAGTTACAAAAAAATGAAAACAAGGTTAGCTGTATCTCACACTCAGAAGATTCCGTCTATAGGTCATATAGGGAAACGTACAAAAGCAAAGAAAATTTAGAAATGAAAGAAAAGTCTGGCACTAGTACCTGAGTAGTAGGAATTCAACAAAGATTTGCTCTGAAGGGTTTTGCTTTGGACAGAAAATGAACAAGGAGAGGGTGATGCTAGGTAGGAAAGACATAAGGAAAAGACTTTAGACATATATTAAGAGAGAGAAAGAGAACAGGGAGAATGTTCCTCAAAGAACACAGTAATATGGGATATATAAGGCTTATCAAAATGAATTATATTTTTCATCTCGACATGCATATTACATTTATTACATTGTCATCATGATGGATTTTCTTTAATATAAGCACTCCAGACCCCAAATACAGTGTTATAGTTATTGTAAATCAATGTGTTCCTACACAGGATACATATATAGGACTATAGTCTAGATATCCTTTTTTTAACCAAAGGAACAAACTTATCTTTTTGTCTCTAGGAAAAAGATCCCTAAAAATAAGCCCCAAAATACAAACTACAGAGAACCAAATGCACTAGTAACAGTAGAATAAGCCTGCTCAAACACAGCGTACACGAGTACCACAAAAATACACAGGTAGGGTGGCAATTTTTTTGGTTAAAACAATACAAGATAACGAGGGACTTGTTCTTCAACCCAGGACTGTTCATAGCAAATCCTACAATCCTTCCCCCTCTGAGCTGGGTTCTGTCAGCAGGACAAGCATCCTTGCTTTTTCTCATTAAAGCAGTAGCTTTCTCTGGACAAGAATCCACCAATTATTTCCATATTAATTGAATATTTATGGAAAGGAGGCAGGGCTCAACATCTTCACAGTAGATTCTTTTCTTGATAGTAAGTCTATGAGGCTAGTTTATACCTACAATAGCATACATGTACGTTCTTACAGTAATCCATCATTTCTGAAGGCATATTCTTTTGTTATCATTCTGCATTCACTCTCAGAGTTACAGGCATTTATTTATCTCCTCAAAATGTTGGGAAACAAGCTAATACAAATCTCAGTACATCAGGAAGATGACAATAGATAACACAGGAAAAACTATTCCATAATCTAATAGAAGTAGATAAAATTCAGTATATATCAAAGTAATTTCAGAAGCAATTTTTGTATCTGTAGAGCAAACATCACTTAAAAACTTCAGGTTATTCTATGGGGTGAACCAAAGAAGTCGCTAGCCTAGGGAGTTTCATGAAGTCTGCAGAATTACCTCCTAAGCAGTTTATAATCATCTAGTAAATGAACTCGCGCTCGTTCTGCATTCTCCTGCCATATTTTCAGACTTACACCACTTGAAAATGCATTAAAATAATCAAATTTCTCATCGCTTAGTCTGCTGGAGTTCTGCCCCAGCTGCCTTCAAGCCATAAAGCATCTTTCATTTGGGGCCTCTTATACTTTCTCCCCGTGTTTGTCAGCCTAAATCAGACCTTTCTCTCACTGTACTTGGAACATGACAGCTTATGCAGATATATAAAATAAGGTCTAAAAAGAGTAATTTGTTTGCCCAGGGTAACAGAGCAAGTCAACAGTCAGAGCTTTGAGCAGGACTCGAATTTTCTGAAATTTGGGAGTATAAAAGAACTCGCTGAGCCGTACTGCCGTTCCAGGAATTGCTAACAGTAAATTACTTAGGCAGCTGAAGATATACACCTCACTTCAGTGAGTCTGATTAAAAATGTTACCAACTGAAGTTTATGAAATGAACCATGTTTGTGAGACAGGGAGGCAATTTCTAGATTCAGAAGGGGAAAAAACCCCCCACAAACCCAACACCAAAAAACAAGTTTCCCAAACTTTAGAGAGCTCATTCCCAAAATCAGTCAGGTAGCAGCTTGTATAATGAGATGTGTAGACAGTGCTGCTTCCTAACCAGAGGATTTCACATCAGGATAGAGATTAAGACTTCATTAAAAATTCTCTTTGTATGCCCTGGAGTGGCACGTGAGGCCACACAGATCCCTCCAGTCATGCAGAATGGTGGAGGCTCCCTTCCTAGTCTGAAAATTGTTCTCCCTTAGTTTTTGTAAGATTTTCTGAACTAGCAAACCCCACAAAAATCCCAAACCAGCATGAAAACCAGTAAAAGGGATTTTGGTATTTTTTCCTTTTATGCCTTTGATGAAATTTGGCTTTTTTTTTTTCTTTAAATTCATTTTAGAATTTTTCACTAAAGAAAACATCTCCCGGTCATGATCCTACAAGTCCTTAGACTGCATTTAGCAGGTAACCTAAAAGTGAAAATTATCTACGTGGTTGGAATAAGAACTAGACCTTAACGTAATTGTCTGTTGTGACTTACAGCAAAGCTAAAGACCGTTGCATTTGATTCATCACAAAAACATGCAGGATATGGAAAGGTGTGGCTTTAGATGTTTCCTGGTTAAAAAGGATCCTTAAGACCCTGCGTGCCACTTACCTACAGCTTCCTCTTATCTCCTTGTTCTTGCTAGTAAAAGCACACTAACTCTACAGTAGTGCTCACTAATGCAACGCTCGGTTCCCTACGGCTTCCAAAACGCTGTCTTCAAACTGCGCTTCTGCCCGAAACATTAAAGCCACCTACCTAATCTGCATCAGTCTCACTCCTGAAGGTTGTCTGGAAAGCAGTCTCCTCCCAAACTGAGATGTCACAAAAGTTAAGCACACCCTAATAAATCAGTCTCTAGCAAAAGTGGCTGCATTTTAAGAGATTAAATCTGCAGAATCAAACAGTTCCTGCCAGAAACCTCCCAAGATGGCTACGCTGGTGATATGGTATTCTCCTGGACCAGCCCTATCCATGGCACTTTAGCATTGCAAACCCAGAAGAGCAGTTCCTTCGAGCAGGACGTACCGCTAGTGCATCGCTGCCGAGATGATATACTACTGCTTCTCCCATCACACGCCTGGGCTGCCAAATTGCACACAATTTATGTGCAATAACAACCCCTTGCACACCCTTCTGGTCAGTGCGCAGATGCTAGTGGATGATTTTAGGCTCACCTTATCTTCAATTTGTCATCTCATTTCATAACAACCCTGCATCGAGTCAATGCCTACCCATGCCTGTGCTGTGCCCCTCGGAGGAAAACGCCACTGCTTTCCAAACGTTCCTGCAAACTGAGGAGCAGGCTCAGACACTGCAAGCACCATCATCTACCTTTAGTGCATTTTGGATATATTTTTAGTTTTTAAAAAACAAGATGTTTGAAAAAATGAACAACTACGAAGACCCTGCTTCCACATAATCCCTGGGTGAAACCAGACGAATTGGAATAGCCATGGACTAATTTATCTTTCAGCAAATACCTATTCTGATTCCATATGGTGTCAGAGACAGAGGCTGAGTCCATCAAATCCCTTCAGTTTGAACTGCAGTAAAAATTCTGCCTGAATAAGGACTAACAGAGCAGGATGGAAAGAGGGATGAGGGGTTTTGCTTTGGGCCAGAAAAGATAAATGCCCTTTTCTCACCCACTTTTCAGCAAGACCTGAGGTCTCCCTGTTCCAGCACAGAGGCTACAGATCTTCCAGAATGTAATTGCATTTGATAATGAACACCTCTGCCAAACAATAAAATTCAATCCTATAAATGACCAACAGCACCGGGTGCTCCTCAGCACTGCGCTGGCCTCTACAAAGGTCTCCATTGCACGCAAACAGCGTGATTTTATGGATGACGCCGTTAGCATGAGTTTATATTGAAAATACAAGTATTTCCTCCTAAAGCACTGAGATGGAGCAGGTGAAGAAATCTGCATTTTTTACTAAGAGCAGAGACAGGAGGATGGTAACTCTTAGTAGTGACAGAATCACCGTTATTTTCAGAGTTGCCTGTAAAAGCGCCCAGGTCCATGTCCCCTCAGAAAAGGAGGGGCTGATAAGCAGAAAGGCAGCTGCTCACTTTTGGTGTCCGTCATGATGCAGAGTGCCAGGCAGCACCCGCTATGACGAGGGGGACGTTGCTTCTGCCTTTCTAGCGGCTGGCCCTGTCAGTGGGAGCTGCCTGCAGGGTGACGGTGCTGTAGGCAGCAGCGAGACAGGCAGCAAATGGGGAGGCTACGGCAGGAGGGTGGACAGGGATCACCCAAGAACATCAAAAGTCCTCCTGCAGCAGGAGCAGACCAGTGGCCAGGCTGGACGGACTAGAGGAAGAAAAAGGCTTCTACAGGGACTCATGGAATTTGTGCTGTCTGAAAAGTCATTAAACATATTGGGACAGGAAGGAAAAACTGAAGGGAAGGACACATACCCTGCAAGGACGCTGCCATCTGGAGATAAACTCGTTTGCAAGTCATTCAATAATTGTGAGGTTTCCTACTTAACAAGTTGTTTTGTTCTATTTTATTCCTTTTGTAAGCTAGCAAGGTGATCTTGGGATTGAAAACACTTAACTTCTCTTGGTGGGCTTTCTTCACAAAGGAGAGGGGTATCTCCATGTCACTGCTACAGCCAGCTCAGGCTCCCGTAAGTCAAGAGGGTCAAGATGGAGAGGATGACTACCTAGCATGACATAGCTGAAACGCTATTTTCTGTTGGGAGGCAAAAGGACAATTTAAAGAAGGAATTTGTTGCTTAAGAAAGCTGATTTCAAAAGCCAGGAGGAACAACCCCTAGTTAGAGTAGGCCTGTAATAGAAACCCTCAAGTATTCAACACTACTAAGGCAATTGTTAAAAAAGAAAGTCTTTTACCCATAAAACTCCTGTATCAGCATGTGCACGTTACTGCACAGAAGAGAACTTACCTCCAACACGTCAGCATCCTGGACTTGGCAGTAAAAAATCTGGAGAAGTCATGAAGGCTTACTGGTAATTGTTTCTCATGGATATAAAGAGGAAAACAAGAAAAGAATCGGCCCATGACTTGACTCAGGCTGTGTTACAGAGGGAGGTAGCGATAAAATCTGCAGTGACGTCAGACAAGCAAAGGACTAACTGCTTTTAAAAAAAAAAAAAGAAAAGAAAACCTGGAGGGATGCTTTCTTACAAAATTAGATAAAACTTATTTTCTATAGATGCCATTTCAAGTAAATGACTCAGCTGTTTTAATTAGTCTCTCGAAATACCACGGGGTAAAAAAAAATGAGGTCACATTTCAAGCGTGTCTCGTCTCTCATTTTCTGGTTGGAAAAAAAATCCCCAAACTTTTAAAAACCCCGATTCTGAAGAAAGTGTTAAAAACTTCATTTCCCCCATACATTTTAAACAAGCTACGTTTGCTGTTTCTAGGATGTCTGTTACAATGCTGTCCTCCGCTATCCTGTCTTCCAAAGATATGAACCACTGACAACTCTTGCTGTCTTAGGAGATAGAGCTACTCAGCACCTGAGAAAATTAGATCTTGACTCAAGTCAATTTAATATCAGAGAGAAGTGTTCACCGCTAGCCTTGACGGTCCCAAACACCTATTTATCTATCTCGCAGGTATGTTACACTGAGTGGCAGCAGCAACGCATGCAGATGGAATTTGACATGACCTACAGATAGTGGGAAAAGAAGAATTCACTCAGCCTGTCCCACTCAATCTGAGATTACAAAGGTTTCAACGATAAAACACATTTTGTACCATAAGCACTTCCATGTTAGTAATTAGGGGAAAAACCACTTCACTAAAGACGGTAAAGACAGACAAAAGAGTTTTAGTACGTACGTGCGTTTCAGAGCTGTCCCCTGTTCAGACTAGCAGGCTAAGCGTCAAAAGAAGGACTGACATTCCCATAGTGTCTAAGTTAAAATTTATTTAATATGAAAAAGTTTACAAATCCACCATGCACTCAAACTAGCAAGGCTCAAGTATGACTTTGTGCTGCTTCACCCACAAAACTCTTCCAGCTACAGAGGTCTGAGGGGTTTACAAGTATTAACTAAGATTAGTTTTACTGAACCCGTATGAAGAATAAACTGAGGACACAGACAAAAGAAGAAACGCTGTCTTTCCATTCCAGTTCTCTAACCAGGAAACCATGCTTTCTTTCATAACAATTTCATACAGAGAATGTTATTTCATCCTACGAGTCAGCTAACTGATTTGATTCAACTATTCTACTCGCAAAGGAAAAAATATTTCTGAAGAACAAATAAACACGTGCCTTCTCGACTGTCTGATGTAGTTATTAGAACAGACTTTGTAAATTATTCTCAGTAGATTTAGAGTCAGAAGGAATGCTCTCCACCTATCTGACAGGTAAAACAGGGGCAGTGTCAGAGACGTTTCAGACAACTGATTTCTAGCAAGCTTTTGCAACGATCTCTACCACTGTCATTCCCAGCTCCTCAATATTGTGCCCATAGGAATAGGTCCTTTCAAGAACCTAGAGCTCTCCAAGGGGGACATATCCATTGCAAGCAAGTTAAACTTACTGAATCCATTAACATCTTGGCAGCTGGAAGAAAAAGCTTCTTCATTGTGAACAGCACTGAGTTTTGTAGAGGTCTTGTCGGAAGTAGCCACGGGACCCATCTCCCTCTGCGTGCTGGTCTGAGTCTCCTTCTGCTTCTTGGCTAGCTTCCTTTAGGGTATTTTGAAGAGGGGAGAAATCAAGGTCAGTTTTCCCTCATTAAAAACAAAGCAATGAGCAAATATTTTGAAACCCACGATTATCCCACTTGGTCAGACATGCAGGGCACGTGACAAGTTGCAAGAGAGGAAACCCCACAACTTTTTAACATAACTGTTGTGGAGCACCATAAATACAGTGATACCAGTCTTTGAGCTTAGCTGTCCCTCCCGGTAACTTATCTTGCACAAACCTGCATCACCCCAGCAGTGGGAGTGCTACGTCATCCTCGAAGAGGCTGGCACAGGGAAAGGCCCTGGAGCGGGCGTCA